CCCACATTTACCAACAGAACTGGGCAACAACACAGCACGTGTGAAGTTTATCCTCCGTGAAGTGCTCTGCCATCCACCACCCAGGATAAGTCCAAATCAGTCAAGTCAGTGAGTTGCATCAAACATGAAAGCCATGTTGTTCATTTTTCCTGCACATTCTTTCATGGTCAGTACCTTGGACAGGCTCTGTTGAGTAGACCTGACAAGTGAGCCTTCTGTATGCTCAATTGTAGTCACAGTGTCTCAGTCATTCTGAGAGGCCCTTTTCCAAGTATACTGTAAATGCTCTTCCTCTGAAACAACCGTAGTATTCCTAATCATTTGATTAGTCTTATAATCTTGATTCCCATTTCTTTGTTCATGAACAAGGCTGGAAAGTATCTGGAAGTTTGATGCTGGCAACCAGGATGCTGAAATAGTATTTGACCATGTCAAGGCTGTTTGTTAAAAACTGAAGCTAGTAATTTGAATACACACACACCCTGCCCTGTTCCTAGATCACTTGGCTTTTAGAACTGGCATTGCGGGTTAGGCTTTTGTGGAGTAAAAAGAAACCTCTAGGATTGCTATTTTGTGATTCTCTATCGAGCCAGTTAAAACAGTTCAAAGATAGTTTAGTTAGCTTCTCTGAGGTAAAGTATTCTCTGCTTTTTTTTGTCTTCTGGCCTTGTTGTCGCTAGTTTTCTGTTTGCTTGTAGAAGAATTGCCTGCAGGTAACCAGGTGAGGAAAACTTAATTTAGAATGACGTAAAGGACACTTGAAGTTCACCATGCTGGGAGTTAAAGTAGTTAAGAGAAAACCTGCTTTTAACTGCTGATGAAGTGTGCTACAAGTGTTAACTTTTCCTGCTCGGGAATTAATCTGGGGAGGACCTCTCAGTCACATCCTCCAGAATCAGTGTTTGACTTTAGCTGTCTGCCAGCCAGACCAAGAAACAATTACCCCAGCCCTGTTTATCAGATACTTTGTACATTTTTTGTAAGCTTGTTAATTCTGACCTTTAATTTCAGATGTTTCAAACTGGAAGCACACTGTCGTGTGTGTGTGCTCAGAAGGTGATAATATCTTGAGCAGTTAAACAGTAGTCGGAAAATAATAGCCAGGATTGCAAACTGTTGGTGATGGATGTTTCTGATCTCAGCGTTGGCCTTTAAGTGCTTTTAAAATGGCCAATTTGTGGGAAGCCCATCCAGGCCTCTCTTGACTGTCCTGGACCGCAATTAACAGGAGGTGGTTAGCAAAGCTCTTGTCTCTCTCTGCTCCTCATAGTGTCACTTCAGTTGTTATTTACGTGAGCCTGAAATTCAGACTTTACCCAGAATGTGATGCATAGTACTTGCTAAGGGACGTTGGAGTGTTTTGAAGTGCTGCTTCAATTAATCAGTTAATACATACACAGTTCTGTTTTTGTTCTGTGCTGCTAATCCAAATGCATCAAGGTTTATGACATTCTCTTGAGTTGGTGGCTTTTTCCCAGTCTCCCCTGTGGTAGCAATTATGATGTGGTGTTTGTCACTCTTCATCTTTTGCACACTTTATCTGTTTTAATCTTTGCTGCCCTTGCAGAGATAGGAGATTGGCCTGCTGCTAGGCGTGTCTGACACGGCCTGGACCATCTCTAGAAGGGTTATTTCTGGTGGGGGGAGAAAGGCTAAAGTGTTAGGCAGTACAAAGAGAAGTCTGGCAAAGGGGGTGAGCTCTGCTGTGAAGGGTCAGGGAAAATTCTACTTTTGTAACTGCAATCCTATGTACACTTACCCGATGCGGCTTACTTTGGAATAAACATACACAGGGTTTCACTGAAAATCTGGCAGGAACTGAAGAACCTCTGCCTTCAAGTTGGCTGTTGCCATTGGAGGTGGATGGCGGTCTTAGTGTCCCGTTCCCAATAAAGAGGAGGGAGCAAAGCAGAACCATGGGTTCCTTTTGCTAATCCCCCCCCCCACACACACACTTTCCTCCCCCCAAGGACTTGCCAGGCTTCTTCTAAGGTGCTTCCTCTCAGTTGCCCAGTGTAACTGTTTATGCCAAGCACTTCAGCGGGAGCCTGAGGGGGGAAATGTTTTAGAAGAGCAGGAAGGAACTGTATGTTCTGAAAATTGGCTAGGACACCCAGGTTAAATACCCCACACATACTTAAAGAGCCTGTGAATCCTTATAAATGATGTGGGACTTGGTTGGGATGTTCTTTTTGTTTTTTGGCTTGGCCTCATTCTACCCTAAGCTTAAGACAAGGAGCAGGATGAGTGATCCGGTGAGTGAGGGCCGTGGGGTTTGGGAACAGGAGATTCAAGCTCAGGTTGCTGTTTTATCTAGAACAGTGCTTTCTCTCTCTGAGCTGAGCCTGCTTTATATTATACAGGAAGAGCTTGTGGCTTAGTGGTAGAGCATCTGCTTGGCATGCAGAAGGTTCCAGGTTCAATCTCTGGCATCTCCAGTCAAAGGGGGCCACTTTGGTGTAGTGGTTAAGTGGGCGGACTCTAATCTGGGAGAACCGGGTTCGATTCCCCACTCCTCCACTGGCAGCTGCCGGATGACCTTGGGCAAGCCATAATTCTGGCACAGCTGTCCTTGAAAAAGAGCAGTCTCTGTCAGAGCTCTCTCAGGCCCACCCACCTCACAGGGTGTCTGTTGTGGGGAGGGGAAGGGAAAGGAGTTTGTAAGCCGCTCTGAGACACCTTTGGGTAATGATGGGCGGGGTATAAATCCAATCTCTTCTTCTTCTATGTAGTAGGAGACATGCCTGAGACCCTGGACAGCCTTGCTGGACCAATGGTCTGATTCAGTATAAGGCAGCTTCATGTGTGTCCATTATTATTGCCAAAAACAAAATTAGATAAAAGTAGACCTAGGAATTGTTCCAGCTCCTGCCAACCTAGCAGTTCGAAAGCAAGAAATTGCAAGTATATAAATAGGTACCACTTCGGTGGGAAGGGAACAGTGTTCCGTGCGCCTTGGTGTTTAGTCATGCCGGCCACATGACCATGGGACCGTCTTCGGACAGCGCTGGCTCTTCGGCTTTGAAACGGAGATGAGCACCGCAACCCTAGAGTCGGATTTGACTGGCTTTCGAGCAGGGGGACCTTTACCTAGACCTAGGAATTAGGATGTTAGTATCTTCTGAGTCAGCTTTGCTTACCCCGCCTTGCTGTTTGGAATCTACCGGTGGATTCTGTGGCTCCAGCCCACAGGCCACATTCTAGGAAAGCCTGGGCACCCCACCTCTTTCTCACTCTACCACAGGCACACAACTTTTGTTTTGGTTACGCAGGTGTGTGCCATCCATGTGTAAGGGCTTTTCCTGCCCAGGTAGCTCAAGTAGCATTGCTAATCACTTCACCGAGATTCCTGTTATGTAGCTAAAGAATTTGGGACCAATCTGCTGGTACTTGGGCCTCCTGTTGAGATCTTCATGGATGTTGTCTCCATCCATGCTCACGGAATGTTTGTTAGGGCGGGTGCTAGCCCTTGAAAATTTCTGCCACAGCAGATCTTTCAGGTGCAACAAAATACTGTTGTTTTTGCTGCAACTGACTTAATGTGTCTTCCCCCCCTGGAATTTTTAATAGCTGGGTACTATAATCTTCCCTGAGCCTTTGGGATAGAAACCCGAGAAATATTTTTTACAACTGCATTACCTTTGTGTCGTGATTTCACCCATTCTGCATTCGGTGTAAGTTTCTGGGATGCAAAATAATGTGTTTAAATAAAGGGTGGAAAGGTACGGGCTGTATATTAGAAAAAAACATTCTAACCGTAAGAGGTGTGCAACAGGGGAATCAGCTGCCTAGGGAGGTGATGCGCTCCCCCCACTGGCAGTCTTTAAGCAGCGGCTGGACAAACCCTTGTCAGGGATGCTCTAGGCTGATCCTGCATTGGGCAGGGGGTTGGGCTAGATGGCCTGTATGGACCCTTCCAACTCTGTGATTCTATGATTCTGAGTATGAATGTGGGTTGGGTTTTCAAAATAACCTTTGTTGAATTGTTGCTGTATTTGCCCATGGTGATGCTGTGGCAGGGCAGGTAGATGAGAACTGAGAAAGAAGATTCCGTGTCTGGCAAGAGGAGGAGTAAGGAAAGGCAAGTTGTACAGAGCTGCCCTTGTCCATCTTCAGGCCCTGTGCTCATAATCCCAGCTCTGCACCCGAAAGGGACGGAATCTTGTATGTTAGAGAAGCCTGAGAATCTAGTCATTGAATCTGAACAAGAAATTAGATTAGTTGTTCATCTGGGGAGCCCTGGATGCTGCATTAGATTATCTTCCTTTGCTTCCCGGGAGAAGAGGACAACCAGATTTAAGGCTGTGGTCTAAACAATGCCCTGCCAGACATTATCGGATTGGGTACTTCCAGCGGCATGGATTTCCACTTTTACCCTGCTGTGCAGTGAGAAAATGTCAGACCCGCTCCATCTTTTTGTCTTGGCTTGTGAGCGGAGGTCTTGTATGTATTTCCAGATACCTAGGAAACGCAGGCAGCTTAAGGACTGGATGGCCCAGTCTCATCAGATCTTGGAAGCTAAGCAGGGTTGGGAGACCCCCAAGGAAGTCCAGGGTTGCTACGCAGAGGCAGGCGATGACAAACCACCTCTGAACGTCTCTTGCCTTTAAACCTGACGGGGTCATGACAAGTCAGCTCTGACTTGACGGCACTTCCCACCACCACCCAAGATTGAGGGGGGGTGCCTGTTAGATCACAGCTTTAAGACAGAACAGCCTTCCAAAATGGCTTCCTGTGTCTCAGGGTGTGTGTGTCAGTTACGTGCAGCAGGTGTGTTCTTCACCCAGGGAAACGGGCAAAATGAATGTTCAGATATCCGAAACTATACCGTTAAAAAGTATGCCTGAATGGCTATTTTATCTTTGGTTTTAGCTGGGGATAATTGTAACTATTATTGTAAGCCGCCTTGACCCAAGGGAGAAGGCAAGACAGAAAGGTTTTACTAAATAAATAAAATATTTCTCTCTCTCCCTCTCTCTCTCCCTTACAGAAACTAGCAGGCCCACATGGATGTTTCTGAAAGCCCAGAGCAAACCCCCCGCTCTCCCGATGAGAAGGAGGAAGAGGAGGAGGAGGAAGACCAGCAGCTCTCTGATGACAAGATCCTGAAAGAGAGCGGCTCAGAGCCGGAGCAGGACGGGGAGGAAGGACAGGATGCCCCTTTGGGAGACGAGGAGGAAGATGCGGCCAGAGTTTTGGCCCAGGAGGAAGAGGAGGGGAATCGCTCCGAGGAAGAGGACCGCTTAAGCGAAGCCAAGTCTCCAGATTCTGACAATAATGAACCGAACAGGGAGCTGAAGGGCTCTTTGAGCCTCAAGGAGGCAGAGAGCGCAAACGACCTTGGCGACGAAGCCTCCTCCGTCACTCGCGAGCTGGATGAGCACGAGTTGGACTACGACGAGGAGGTTCCAGAGGAGCCAAGCACCGTTGCTGCTGACGACGAGACCGACAAGGCTGGGGGGGAGGAGGAGGAAGAGGAGGAAAAGGGAGATGAGGCCCCCGACGAGGAGAAGAAACCTGACACCAAGAGCGACGATGAGAAGGACAGGCAGGAGCCCCTCAAGGAGAAGAAGAAAGAGGAAGGTGACGGAGAAATTGATGACGGCGAGATTGATGTAAGTCCCAGGTTCTCCCCCACCCCCACCCAGTGCAGGTTACGTCCCTTTTCAGGGTTGTCTCCATTAGTGTGCTTTGGTCAAGAGGAATCATAGGACTCAAGTTAAACTCTCCTGGAGGTGTGAGGGTCACTCCAGGCACCTTTGTTCAGGAAGACTGTGAAATTATCAAGCATCTAACTAGACGAGTTCAGAAACGGTGGTGTCTTGTCACCTTGTGCATAATCTTAGGGGTGTGGAAAAAGTCCTTGCAGGCACGTTGTGTTCCTGTCCTTTTCTTGATCCCACATCCCCTAATAAGCGAAGCAGCCGTGGCAAGTGGGCTTCCCCACACATCCCTCTTCCTCCATTTCTTTCTCACTCTTTGCTCTTTATCAACAGTCTGCACCCCATTTCCTGTTGCTTCCAGTTTTCCTCGAGTTTCCTGCTTCCCCTTTTAACCCTCTCCGCAGTCTGACCTCTTTGGAAGCCCCTTCCGACTGCTTGGATTTTTTTATTTCTTCACATTTATAGCCCGCCCTTCCCGGAAGCGGGCTCAGGGCAGGTAACAGCATTTCATTTATACAAAATATATTAGTTGATGTAATAACATTAAAATTTAAAACATCATCATCATTATTAAAATGGTGGTCACAGCTAATAAAAAGGATTTTCTCCTGGTTGTGGGAGGTTCCTGGCCATAGCCAGTAGTGATGGGGGCACACAGTCCACGCTTTGCTGTGATGTGCCTTCCATGGGATTGCCTTGGGAAACTACAAATGGTTCCAGATTCAGTGGCCAGGCTGTTGTGAGGAGTTGGGTGCAGGGATTGTATCACCTCCATCCTGTAAGATCTGGACTGGCTGCCTTTCTGTTTCTGGGCACAATTCACGCTGGTGATTCTTACCTTTAAGGCCCTAAATGGCTTGGGCCTGGGGTACTTGACGAACCACCTCCTCTCATATTGTGAACTTTGAAGTGCTCTCCCCCATGCAGCCTGCCTGGTGTCCAGCGTAACTTCCCTTTAGGTGCCAGGCCAAAACATTTCAGCCAGTTAGGTGCAGTGGTTAGGAGTGTGGACTCTAATCTGGGACAACAGGGTTTGATTCCCTACTCCTTCACATGCAGCTTCTGGTGTGACTTTGGGTTAGTTACAAGTTCTTTCAGAGCTGTTCTCTCATGAGTAGTTCTTGAAAGAGCTCTCTCCCACCTGCCTCACGGGCAGTGTTCCCTCTAAGCTGAGTTAGTGTGAGCCAGCTCACAGTTTGTTTAGCCTCCGGTTCACACATTTTTGTCTTAGCTCAGGAAGGATGGCTCCAAAACAAACTAATTGATGCAGCTGCCAAATCGCTTGCTCATAACTTTAATGCCAGGAGCTCACAAAGTAGAATTTCTGCTCACAAGACACCGCAGCTTAGAGGGAGCATTGCTCACAGGGTGTCTATTGTGGGGATTGTAAACTGCTCTGAGACTCTTTTGGGTATAAATCCAATCTCTTTTTCTTTTCTTCTTTTTTTTATCCAGACTTGTAACTGAGGTGTCTCATCTTCTTTTAAGGCTGTTTTTATAATCTGCTTCCAGCCTGTTCTGTGAATATCATTTTAGGCCTCTGGATGTTGTTTTGTGCCCTTGGGTTGTTTTTAAGGCTTGTTAAGAACATAGGCCAGTGTTGGATCAGGACAAAGGCCCATCCAGTCCAACACTCTGTGTCACACAGTGGCCAAAACCCAGGTGCCCTCAGGAGGTCCAGCAGTGGGGGCCAGAACTCCAGAAGCCTTCCCACTGTTTCCCCCCAAACACCAAGAATACAGAGCATCACTGCCTTGGACAGAGTGTTCCATCCGTACCTTGTGGCTAATAGCCTCTGATGGACCTCTGCACCTTATCCAATCCCCTCTTGAAGCTGTCTATGCTTGTAGCCACCACCACTTCCTGCGGCAGTGAATTCCATATGTTAATTACTCTTTAGGTGAAGAAGGACGTCCTTTTATCTTTTCAAAGCCTACTACTCATTAATTTCATTGAGTGCCAACAAATTCTTGTATTGTAAGAAAGGGAGAAAAGGACTTCTTTCTCTGCCTTCTCTATCCCATGCATAATTTTGTAAACCTCTATCGTGTCACCCCTCAGTCATCATTTCTCCCAGCTAAAGAGCCCTGACCTCTTCAACCTTTCTTCATTTGTTCTTTTAATTGATCATTCTTACGTTATTTTTTATGGCTTTATTGTGTTGTTTTTAATGCGGGATTGTACGAAATACATGGGTTTTCCTGGCTTTTGGGTACTTAACTGACTGACATAACTGTGTTGGTGGAGCGTGACATAGCATAGGTCATATGAAGGCTGTGCCTGTAAAAGTTTCCTGGCTGGCTCCCTGGCCTCCCCAGCTAGAGGGGAATGCAAGACCAGGAGAGGTCTTCTCTCTACTTGGAACTGTGGAGAGGCCATGTCAGTCATTCCGTAGATCTATTTACTTCATTTATATCTGGCCTTTCTTCCCACTGGGGGATCCCAAGCATCTTTGTTTTTTCCCCTCTCTTCTGTTTTATCCTCACAACAACCCTGTGAGGTAGGTCTGACTGAGTGTAAGGATTGGCCCAAGGTCACCCAGTGAGCTTCCAGGGCAGAGTGGGGATTTGAACCTTGATCTCCCAGATCCTAATCTGGCACAGTAACCATCACACCACATTGGCTGTCTGCTAGCAGGCAATTCTGAGCGAGAGGTGTCCAGCATAAGACAGCTCAATACGTTGTGATCACTTTTTGCAGCTCCGCAGTTTGGTGTAGTGGTTAAGAGCATGGACTCTGATACTGGAGAACGGGGTTTGATTCCCCGCTCCTCCTCATGCAGCTGCTGGTGTGACCTTGGGTCAGTCACAAGTTCTCTCAGAGCTGTTCTCTCATGAGCAGTTCTCGAAAGGGCTCTCTCAGCCCCACCTGCCTCACAGGGTGTCTCTTGTGGGGAAGGGAAGGAGATTGTAAGCCATTCTGAGACTCCTTCGGGTAGTGAAGGGCGGGGTATAAATCCAATCTCTTCCCTCTCTTCTTCCCTGTAGTCCAGTGAGGCCCGCTCAAGCTCCAGGGAATTGGGTTTGATGATTCCCTTTGGCCTACTTATCGTGGCTGGGAGCCTGCTTCCTGTGCGTGTCTGTGTCCTCAGAAGCGCACAGTTGAGCAGGCCGCCTGTGTTTATATGAGCCGAGCATGTTTGCATTATAACTTGCTTTAAAACCTCCTCCTCTCAGACGGCGATCCCAGTCAATCCGCTTTTTAAATAAAGCGTACCGGAGGCATATATTTTCCTGGAACGGTTTGCAGGGAGCTTCTTAATCCCTTTAAGCGTTGCCGCTCCTTGATGTGTTCTCTGTTCAACGTGGTGCGGAGCTTCCCTCTAGGTGGCTGTCAGCCTTAAGCGGCCATCAGGAAATCTGTGCCGTCTCTTCTAGACGTATCTTCCTTGGATGTTTTTCTCCCTCCGTGCGGTTCAGACAGTTCTGTGTGAAACGGTTAGCGCCACTGTTCTCCTTGCCCCTTGAACGCATACAGAAGTTCCAGGCCGTGGGCTGAGCCTTTCTGCAGAAGCTGGCAGTGCTGCTTCTGCAGAGTAAACAAAGATGTGGTCTCCAGTGTCTTTCCATTTGCTGCTGTCTCTTGTCCGCCAGTCCGCCCTGACCATTTACTGAGTTGCTGTGATGTCATGGAATGTTCAGAAGTATTCCAGCGCCTGAGAGGGAAGCTGTTGGTGGGATAATGGTGATGTGCAAGGGCAGCTGCTGTCTAGGAAATGAGAGAGTGGGTTGGGGGGAGAACCAGAAGGAATGTATGCTGCTGTGAGCAAAGAGAGTTTTTGGAGGTTTGAGCTGTAGAAGCCGCAAGACCAGGCTGAGTATCCAGTGCCAAATTATAGTCGTATCCATCTCTGGAGGAAGGTCTCACAACGATGGGTTGTTTGACAAGTCTGTAGTGCTTCCAGTGATCTGTTTGGTCCAGTCCTTGGAAGCCTGCCTTCTGTATGCCAAACTGGGAGAGGGGTGGTCATGTTGGTCGGCCCTGCCTTGGAACCTGAGCTCAGGAGAAGGAGGCCAATGAAACTAGCATGAAATCCATGCCACTCGTGTGCCTGGCACTTTACGGAATGCAAGGAGACAGGTGCCTGCCCCAAAGAGCTTATGACCTGAAATTTGCCTAAAGGGAGACAGCAGACAGAAGGTGGAGGCATGAATGAGCGAGGCAAGGAAACTGGATTTGTTCCTGCAGCATATGCTTAGCCTTATTTTTGGTAGTGAAAGCAGGCTGTGGCAGAGGCTTCCAGAATAAAGTTGTCCTGAAGGAATGATTTGAGAGAAGATGGTATCATGCAGGTTATTAGGGGGCGGTCCAGGCATAAGAGGATGAATGGAGGGGGGAGAAGAAGAGTTTGATTTATACCTCACCCCTCGCTCGGAGTCTCAGAAGGGTTTGCAGTTTCCTTCCCTTCCTCTCCCTGTGAGGTAGGTGGGGCTGAGAGAGATCTGAGAGAACAGCTCTGATGGAACAGTGACTGACCCAAGGTCACCCAGCTGGCTGCACGTACAGGAGCGGGGAATCAAACCCGGTTCTCCAGGTTAGAGTCCTCCACTGTGAATCGCTACACCACCCTGGCTCTTGGTTGGAGGGTTGTAAGAACAGACCTTGATTCCTGCTTTCTTATGCTGCCCAAACCAACACAAGGCGGGGCCATGGCTTAGTGGCAGAGCCTCTTCTTGGTAAGCAGAAGGTCCCAGATTCAATCCCTGGCATCTCCCGTTAGTAGATGATGTGGAAGACCTCTCCCTGAGACCTTGGAGCGCTCCTGCCAGTCTGAGTAGGCAGTACTGACCTTGGTGGACCGATGGTCTGATTCAGTAGAAGGCAGCTTCATGAATTCTGAAGCTGCCTTACGGAGAATTGGGCCATTGGGCTACAAGGCCCACAGCTCTGTACTTGGACCGGCAGCAGCTCAAAGGGCCTGCCTCTGTGGGGGATCGGGGCCTCCTGCACACAGAGCAGGTGTTCCTCTAGCGAGCTGCAGCCCCTACCTTAAAAAGAGATGCCGGGGGGGGGATTGAGCCTGGAGCCTTCTGCATGCTAAATGTGTGGCCTGCCGCTGAACTTTGGTTCGTCCATTCTGTAAAATAACATCATTCAGTTCGGCTTTGCCGTCTGATCTTTCCGAGCTGTTAATTGAGAAGGCGATTTGTAAAAATGTCTCGCTTCCCCCACTCCCCACCCCCAGCCACATGTCTACGGAACTTCAGACTGCAAGTTTACAGTACAGTAGTACCTTGTGCATCCGCACTGTCTGCGCTTCCCCGAAGAGAGATAAAAAGGAGAGGTGGATTTTGTAGCAATGAAGAGTGAAATGACTTTAGCCGCCTCTCTTCAGAACCGCTCCCAACGCAGATTACCTTTAAGCTTAATAAGGCAGAACAGTGGCTGCCCTGCCCAGCCAGCCTCCTGAAGATCTGTGAATGGGAGAAAGGCAGCAGGAAATCACGCACCTTCCTTTCTGCTCGGAAAAGTGTTTGATGGAGAGTCAAAACGCCCTTCCGAGTAAACGTATTCGTTTGGTGCAGACCTGAAAGTATAAGTGCATTTTTTCCTTAATGCTTTCTGTTTGCTGTGCTCTCCTCGGAAGTGGCTCTAGAGATTTTGAAGAGCCTGAAAATATTTGGGGGCTGATGCAAGAGGTGGAATCGGGTGGGAACCTGATCGGAGGCAGGGTTGTGTGGGCAAGCAAAGGATGTGGGTTAAGATACTTAGTCTTTACGATTCAAGAGACAACTTGGAAAAAGTCCCAGCTCCAAGAAAAGTTTCCAAGGTGTCTCTTGAACTTTAAGCATTAAGAATCTCAAGGAAACGCCCTGACCTGGAAAGCCCAGGCCAGCCCTATCTCGTCAGATCTTGGAAGCTAAGTAGGGTCGACTCTGGCAAGTACTTGGAGGGGAGACCTCCTTCGAATACCAGCAGCTGGGAGGCGGGGGCAGGCTTTATTCCACCCTCCCTGAATATCCTCCAGGCCCCCTGTAGGGGTCAGTCGTCAGAGGTCGCCATGATTTCCAGGTGCACACACACTCACGTGCACATATGAAAAATACCCCCCCAAAAAAGTAAGCTTTTCAGCATGGTGTAGAGGTGTGCTAAAAAGAATCTTAAGGAAGCCAGTCCTTCTGCAAAAGAAGAAGAGATAGAAGAAGGCAGAAGAGGCTTGAACCTCTCCTGAAGCCTGGACGTTTTCCAGGGTGTCTCTTGGATCTTAAGGATTCGCACTCACCACCAAGTAGCAGAGAAGGGGGTAGGACCAAAATGGCAGTGGGTCAGGACAGCCATTTGGAGAGCCTTGTTGCCGTCTTGTGGCCCCCAGCTGGGTCTGTTTGTCCATATCAGAAGGCGAACTCTTGGACTCAAGTCGGTGTGAATGAAAAACTGTGACAAATCGTTCATTTTGGGGCACGGGAAACTTTGCTTTCTTACCAACATCTGTGTTTCCCATACCTCTGTGTCTTCTAGGATGACGATCTAGAGGAGGGAGAGGTGAAGGACCCCAGCGACAGGAAAGTGAGGCCACGTTCCACCTGCCGGTTCTTCGTGAAAGGTAGGAGCCATCCGACGGACATTCCCCTCCCCTTGGACAGTCAAATGAAGCTGTTGGGACTTCCATTGTGCTGTGAGCTGAATTAACCGCAAAAGTAAATCCAAAAGGAGACTTCAACAAAGTGAAATGCACATGTAATCAGAAATGAATCTATACATATAATCCATCATTGGAAAATACAGAGGTTCACAGGATCCATAGGAGGAAAAAAAAACAAAGTCCAGAGTAGATATCCAACACTTTTCCTAGGTAGTGTTTCAGACTTCTGGTCCTTCCTCAGGAACAAAAAACAACATTAGGAAGTCTCATTCCAATTTCTTTACAGGACAATACTATTCAGTTTCTTTATGGGCCAGGTCTCCTAAGCTTTAATATGCACCTCTCAAGGTTGCTTCTATGTAAACAGGAATTGTATGTAAAGAAATTGGAATTAGACTTCCTAATGTTGTTCTTTGTTCCTGAGGAAGGACCAGAACATAAGAACATAAGAGATGCCAATGTTGGATCAGGCCAAAGGCCCATCCAGTCCAACACTCTGTGTCACACAGTGGCCAGAAATACCAGTGCCATCAGGAGGTCCAGCAGTGGGGCCAGGGCATTAGAAGCCCTCCCACTGTTGACCCCACCCCCAGCACCAAGATGACAGAGCATAACTTGCCCCAGAGTCCCTATCTATACCTTGTGGCTAATAGCCACTGATGGACCTCTGCTCCATATGCTTATCTAATTCCCTTTTGAAGCCGTCCATGCTTGTAGCTGCCACCACTTCCTGTGGCAGTGAATTCCAAGTGTTAATCACTCTTTGGGTGAAGAAGTACTTCCTTTTATCCGTTCTAACCCGACCGCTCAGCAATTTCATGGAGTGCCCACGAGTTCTTGTATTGTGAGAAAGGGAGAAAAGTACCTCTTTCTCTACCTGCTCTATCCCATGCATAATCTTATAAACCTCAATCATGTCACCCCTCAGTCATCGTTTCTCCAAGCTAAAGAGCCCTAAGCGCCTTAACCGTTCCTCATAGGGAAAGTGTTCCAACCCTTTTATCATTCGAGTTGCTCTTTTCTGCACTTTTTCCAAAGCTATAATATCCTTTTTAAGGTGTGGTGACCAGAATTGCACACAGTATTCCAGATGAGGTCGCACCATTGATTTATATAGCGGCATTATGATATTGGCTGATCTGTTTACAATACCCTTCCTAATAATCCCCAGCATAGCATTGGCCTTCTTTATTGCAGTCACACACTGTCTCGACATTTTCAGTGAGTTATCCACTACAACTCCAAGATCTCTCTCTTGATCAGTCTCTGCCAGTTCAGACCCCATCAACGTGTATTTATAGTTAGGATTTTTGGCTCCAATGTGCATCACCTTGCACTTGGCCACATTGAACCCCATTTGCCATGTTGACGCCCACTCGCCCAACTTTGACAGATCCCTTTGGAGTGCCTCACAATCCTCACTGGTTTTCACCACCCTGAACAACTTCGTATCATCCGCAAATTTAGCCACTTCACTGCTTACTCCCAACTCCAAATCATTAATGAACAAGTTAAAAAGCAGTGGACCAAGTACTGATCCCTGCGGTACCCCACTGCTTACCACCCTCCACTGAGAAAATTGCCCACCTACACTCACTCTCTGTTTTCTATGAACTAGCCAGTTTTTGATCCATAAAAGGACTTGTCCTTCTATCCCATGATTTTTGAGCTTACTTAGGAGCCTTTGATGAGGAACTTTATCAAAAGCTTTCTGGAAGTCAAGGTAAATAATATCTATTGGATCCCCCTTGTCCACATGTTTGTTCACCCCCTCAAAGAACATTAACAGGTTAGTGAGACAAGATCTTCCCTTACAGAACCCATGTTGAGTCTGCCTCAATAGGTTTTGTTCATCTATGTGCCTACTAATTCTTTCCTTAATAATGGTTTCCACCAATTTACCCGGTATCGACGTCAGACTGACTGGCCTGTAATTTCCCGGATCTCCTCTGGAACCCTTTTTAAAGATGGGAGTGACATTAGCTACCTTCCAATCCTCAGGAATGGAGGCAGATTTTAAGGAAAGATTACATATCTTTGTCAGGAGATCTACAAGTTCACATTTGAGTTCTTTCAGAACTCTCGGATGTATGCCATCTGGGCCTGGTGATTTTTCAGTTTTTAAGTTGTCTATCAGTTTTAGGACCTCCTCTCTCGTCACCTCAATCTGACTCAGGTCTTTCAACACCCCTCCCGAACTCAGCGGCTCTGGAGTGGGCAAGCACCTCTCATCTTCCACAGTGAAGACGGAGGCAAAAAGCAATGGCTGAGAAGCATTTAGCTTCTCAGCCATTTCCCTATCATCCTTCAGTACTCCTGAAACACTGAAACACTGCATACTACCTAGGAAAAGTGTTGGATATCTACTCTGGACTTTGTTTTTTTCCTTCTATGGATCCTGTGAACTTCTGTATTTTCCAATGATGGATTATATTTCTGATTACATGTGCATTTCACTTTGTTGACATCTCCTTTTGGATTTACTTTTGCGGGTAATTCAGCTCACAGTTGTTTCTTGTTGTCCCTTGCTATTTTTTGCTGTGTGCTGTACTGTTTGTTGTTGAGACTTCCATTGTGCTGCCTGGCCTCTGGAGGGTTGTGGCCTCCAAGCACAGGTGGACTAGCCCAGGGTTGTTTCCCCTCTTTCAAGGCCAAGCCAGATGCTGTCGGGGAGAGCACCTGTTGATGGTGTTCAAGACTGAGTCAGAGCAAGGCATTTGCCCCCCCCCCCCCCCCGCTCCAGCATCTCATATTCAGTGGCTCGCTGCCTCCAAGCACTGAAGTTCTCTTTCATTAGAGTTGGAGTCGTAGAATTAGAAGGAGCCTCGTAGGTACAGTGTGGGGATCCGGAGCTAGAGCATCTTAGACAGAAGGCCGTCCGACTTCTGTCTGAAGACCTCAGCCGAAGAAGAGTCCAAGCACTGCAGTTCTCTTTCATTAGAGTTGGAGTCGTAGAATTAGAAGGAGCCTCGTAGGTACAGTGTGGGGATCCGGAGCTAGAGCATCTTAGACAGAAGGCCGTCCGACTTCTGTCTGAAGACCTCAGCCGAAGAAGAGTGCTCCCCTTCCCCCTGCGGTAACCGCTTCCACTGGCAAACTGCTCTTACCGTGAGGAAGTTTCTTCTAGCGTTCAGCTGAAATCTCCCCACCTGTACCTAGCCCATGAGATCTAGGCTCGCCCTTGAGAGCTGCAGGAGACGCTGCCTTGTACTGAATCCGTCCATCAACGTCAGTCCCGTCAACTCAAGACTGGCAGTGGCTTTCCAGGGTTTCAGGCTGAGGTCTTTCACCTCGCCTACCACCCGATCCTTTCAACTGGAGATGCTGCCAGGGATTTAACCTGAGACCTTCTGCACCCCAAGCAGATGCTCTACCACTGAGCCATGACCACCACCACCCCCACTTTCACAGGCCAGGCCTTTGAGCCCCTTGTTATTGGCCGGGGTCTTAAAACTGCCAGGTTTTGAGGCTCTTCCACGGCAACATCGGTGCAGCGATTAGGGTATGAGGCTTGGGACACCATAATTGAGGTGCAGCAGGTGGCTGTAGTCCCCAGCTGCAGTGGAAAGTCCAGCGTTCAAACCTGCCTTGGTTCGCACAGCTTAGCTTCTGTAGATCATCGCTTTTGGTGGTCTGGTAGAAGGGGAGATTGTCTGATCTCTTCTGGAAAGGCTGCACTCTCTTCCATGTACTCCATTCTCTTTTTGACTGTTCTGTGCAAAAAAAAAAATTCAGAACCTTTAAGAGCAGTGGACTCTAATCTGGAGAACCCGGTTCGATTCCCCATTCCTCCACTCTGAGCCTGCTGGGTGACCTTGGGTCAGTCACCGTTCTCTCAGAGCTCTGTCAGGCCACCATAAGCCTATCCGCCACAAAAGAGCTAGAGCTTCTGCCTGCCAGACAATCCTAGGATCTTCTGGCTGTACCATACACATTGCCGTACAATAATTAATTAATTAACCTTTCTGTGCTTCCCTTCCCCCCATAGGTCACTGTACTTGGGGCATGAACTGCAGGTTTATTCATCCTGGCGTGAATGACAAAGGGAACTACTCCTTGATCTCTAAGCCAGACCCTTTCTCGCCCAACGGCGCCCCACCCATCGGGCCTGGCCCTCACCCACTGATGCCAGCCAATCCTTGGGTATGGAAGCATTACTTTAAAACCGAAATCTTCTTCTCATTCTGGATGCTGAGTCATTGAGCAGGGTGCATTACTTTGGAATCTGTAGGAACACCAGGCAAGTGAGGAGCATCGAGTGGGCGCGGTCGGGTCCTGCCTCTTGTCTTGTGTTGGCCTGCAGGTGATCCCAGGAGCCGGAGGAGGAGACGAGGACCTGGGGTCTTTGGGTCCCCCGTGCGCTCTGTCCCTGGGGAATCCTGCCAGAAAACCCGGGCTGCAAGGAACCAATCAGCCAGCAATGTTTGCAGTCACGAAAGGACAGCCCTGAATGGAGATGCCCTAAATAAATCTTCCTTGGCAGAGGGGCTTTCCTAGCCCTTTCGCCTGAGATCACGTAGCCGTGTGCGTAGCGTGGCTCCCCGTGTTGGCATTGAGAGGAAACCTATGCACTGCCATTTAATCTCAGCTCCTTCTCTGCCGCATGATGGAAACACAGCCAGCAGGAAGGGACAGAGACCCCCCTCTTCACACTTCCTGGTCTCCCATCTCTGGCTTTAACTGTTCTGCGGTGGCAAGCAGGCTACAAGGTTCCACCATGGACAGGAGGGGGCTAGTTCTTCTTTGCGCATTTAAGTCTGTTTCCCAGGAAAGAAACTCCACAGCCCATGTTCCAGGCCATATGACTGTTGCATGCTTGGAAACGCAAATCCTGTTGTCAGATTATTTTGCATAAGTAGTATTGCTATTGCTTTTTGTATTGAGATTCCTGCAATGCAGACTTTTGCCCAGATAGCAGGTGACATGGAATACATGCCTGAGCCTGCTTGTATAGAGAAAAGGCAGTTTCTTGGTCAAGGAAATGTTCTCCTTCTGCAGAAATTCGACTGGCCTGTCATCTGGGCAGGCTATGAAAATGCAGGCTTGACGCAAAAGTCCTTTAGTCTCGTTTGTAGAGGGCGGTGGTCTTTGGTGACCCCTAATGGAGGTCTCTAGATGTCCTTAATAACAATCACAAATGAGTCTGAAATCTGCGTCTCCATTAACTGCAGGAACAGGACGGAGGCCGATGTGACTCCCAGCGTATGCATGTCTTAAGTAGTTGGGAGCAGAGGTCCACAGATCTCGTCTGGCCTACATAGTCAGCTGCTGTTCATAGTTGCCGGCAACCATTTCCTCCCCCAAGTCCTTTGGGTGTCTCAGAGGACTAGGAAGGGAGGAATTCTCATACGGCACGGAGCCGCGGGAGCAGATACGAATGCAGAGGTGGCTGCTGGTCCACTTTGCTGGCCAAGCAGATAGGCTGGGGGTGCTCAGCACTCAGGGAGTTGGAGCACAGGGTGCTTCGTGGACAGGTCTGCAGCCGCAGCCTCAGTTTTGACAGAGCAGAGAACTAGGCCAGAGGGTCAGTCGTAGGCCATATCCCATAATGCCTTGGGAGATAGCATCCCAGTTGCATTGCCAACGAGGCCACTTTCTCTGTTTACCACGAGACTTTAAAAAAAATCAGTTGTCCCAAATAGACAGAAATAAAAAACATAACAACAATGCTGGCCAGTCTACAGATCACATCTGTAAAAGGTTTCCAAAAATCTAAAAATACGTCCATGTGCAGTTGTCATCTCTGTCGTATACTTCCAAATGTTGACAAACTGGTAAGGTCCTCGATCCACTGGATTACTGGAGGTGGGCATTTTATCTGTCCAGTGTTGTGATATAAGTCTTTGAGCAACTTTAAGGGCAAGGAGGGTCCATGTCTGTCGACCATCAGCTGGTCTTCAGGATTCAGGCAAATCGTTTAAGTACATCAGGATCCTGAAATGAATATTCTGAGTAATTGCTTCCTCGCAAGGAGGACTGAATAAATGGACAGGCCCAAAGCATATGTCTTAAGAGGCATGTCTTGGCACTGTGGGACTTGAGGGTGGAAGGGAAGGCAGCGGACTGGAAAGCTGCTGGTGTGTGTGTGGGGGGTGCACGTGATGGGTAGAGTGTCCCCGTGGCTCCCGCAGAAGAGTCAAGGGAGGAGGAGGAAGAGTCCCAGGGACTGCTGCTGGCACCCTTTCCTCCAGCTGAGGCCTTTGCAAGAGCAGCCTTCAGGGCTGTCCACAGTCCTCTTCGCCACCATGGTACTTAGGGCCGCTGTGTGTCCAGGGATACCTCCCGGTGGCAAGTAGGTTTGTGGGGGCCAAGGCTCCCTCTAAGCTGTGGAATCTTGTGAGCAAAAATTCTGCTTCGTGAGCTACTGGCATTAAAGTTGTGGGCGAGCGATTTGGCCACTGCATAAATTCGTTTGCTCTGGAGCCAGTCCTCCTTCCTGAGCCAAGGAAAAAAGGTGTGAGCCGGAGGTGAAAAAACTGCGAGCTAGCTCACACTAACTCAGCTTAGAGGGAACACTGGTGGGGGCCTAGTTTTGAATGACGCATACTTGAAGTCTTCTGGAGCCCTCTAAGTGTATCTTTTCAATGTTTTTTCCAAATGCTGAACAATTAGTGCTAATTATAACTCTAGGAGCTGTGGTGGCTCAAGTGGTTAAGACGCTGAACTGCAGGCTGTGGAAGGTCAGTAGTTCAGCAGTTCGAGACCCGGGTGTCACATGACGGAGTGAGCTCCCATCTCTAGTTCTACCTCCTGCCAACCTATCAGTTCGAAAGCAAGAAATTGCAAGTAGATAAATAGGTACCACTTCGGTGGGAAGGGAACAGCGTTCCGTGTGCCTTGGCATCTAGTCATGTCGGCCGCAGGACCACGGAAACGTCTTCGGACAGCGCTGGCTCTTTGGGTTTGAAATAGAGATGAGCAAGGGAACCTTTACCTATAACTGTACAACTTTCCCTGGTTCTCCTGGAGAGGACAGACTGACTTGACAAAGGAACAAACTTCCCACCCTTGACCTTAGGAGACTTTGAATCTTGAGATTATGAATACCAGAGGTGGTGTGTTCTTGCCTAATAGAGATGAAAACATGATCTTTACAGCCCTCTGGATGTCTGGTGAACTTCTTGGGTGCTACCCGTTTGTAGAGGGATGCTTTTGCGGGAAGCAAAATGTCTGTCTTGCGCTGGGGTCATCCCTTTTTCCCTCCTTTTCACAGGGAGGGCCAGCTGTTGATGAAATATTGCCGCCGCCAGACCCTCCGACAGAAAGTGCCTGGGAAAGGGGATTTCGCCACGCAAAAGAGGTAAAATGGCTGTTCAGAGGTAAACGAGGAAAGAAAATGCAGTTTGGGTAAATCCCTCAAAAGCAGGAGGTGTGATTTCCATGGACTCAGCAGTTGTTAAAGGGTTTTCATCTCCTCCACCTGTTTCAGAACCAGCTTGGGAAGCCGCTGGCTAGGTTTTCCTCTCAGTGGCAGCCCCTCTGTCCAGTCCCTGTTCTATCTTTAAAAACCTGCTGGGTGACTTTGAGTCAGTCACAATCCCTGAGGCTTAACCTACCGGCTACAAGCATGGACGGCTTCAAA